AATGGACAAGGTAAGATTAATTTTTTCAATGTGTAAGGAGTATTTCTACTGGGTGCTCATAACTTTTTCGGTACAAACTTTTTGTATTTGTGGTATCCATATGTCAAGAAGAATCAAAGCAAAAAATGCAAATGATTATATTTGACACTGATTATTCACTGGCATGATCGCTTTAAAAGAGTGTGTGCTTCCCCACCTCTAGTTGTTGTCCATTTATCAATATCGAAGGAGTATATAAAAGTATTCAACTTCAATTTAATTTATAGTTTGATTTGGATTCTGACTTTGGAATATAGTGCAGTGCAGTGTCTAAAAACTCCTGATTAGTGGTCTTGGAGTTTAAAATTTTGAATTAATCCATTAATTTGGAAAAGACAAAAATGAAAAAGGTAATATTAGTTTCCTTAATTTGTAAAAATCTTCTATGCTGTTTTCGTTTCTATTTTTTTGGATGTTAGCAATGATTTTATTAATCGTCACTTTAAGCACTAGTAATACAAATAAACCTTCAGTTGACGTGTTAAATCTACGAAGAAACATACAAATGTAGCATTAAATGTGCAAAATCAGTAGTGTTTTCATTTACGAATAGTTGTGTGATGCTAAATGGACGCTAATGGTCGTTCTGGACGACAAAAGTTGTGCGTACTGGATGTAAATAGTTCTAATGTTGCTTACCAGTCCAATAATTCAGATTTTTGAAGCAAAAGATTGTCAACTTTTCCATTCGTATATCTTATATTATAACCTGAAGAATGTGGTTACTCATGATTTTTCATCACATAGCTAAAATATGTTAGTTTTCTGTGCTTATCTGTGCAGATCAGTTTTTGCCTTTTATGGTAAAACATTTGCTTTAAGTCGATGAAACCATGAGAAACGCATTATTCTACTGTAGCAGCGCTTTTCGAATGCTGTTATCACCACCCAAGAGGAAGTGAAACGAAGGGCTTTTTCGCAATTTCTGTGACAATTAGCCATGTTCTAAATAGTTTATCTGTCAACATACAAAAACTCAAGTTTGTTTACGCATTGAGAAGTGTTGTTTCGTGTGTATTGTTTAATAATTAATAATAAGAATAATACTGTTATACATATTTCTATATATACATCATCATCATCATCATCATCATTCCTCAACCTCTTGCATCCACTGTTGGATATAGGTCTCCTCCATGTTCTTCCACTGTTCTCTATCTTGCGCCTTCTGTATCCAATTTCCGACTGTTTTTCTCAAGTCGTCCATCCATCTTTTGGGTGGTCTGCCTCCGTGTCTTTTGTCTTCTCTAGGTCTCCATTCTATGAGTCTTTTGGTCCACCTATTATTATTTAAACGTGCTATATGTCCAGCCCATCTCCATTTGGCTTGTGCAATTTTTTCTATGACATCTGTCACTTTAGTCCTCTCTCTCACTATCCTATTTGGTACCACTATATATACATATACAGAATTAAATTTAGAGATTTAGTACCTTAAAAAATCGATAGAAAGAAATCTACTGATTTTCATTTCTATTTTGAAATTAACTCTCAAATTCAATCGCTTTTCTAATGTACTAAAATACTTTTAGTACGTTAATTTGTTTATTAAAAAAAACAAATCGATATTTTTGACTTAAGACCTTTTTAGTTATTACAAAAGTTTAGGTAACACAATAGTGATACCGACAGTGCTCTATGCAAGTGAAAACTGGACAATTCTGGATAAACATAAGAGCAGGATAAACGCAATGGAGATAAGACATCTAAGAAGGATAGTTGGAAAGACAAAATGGGATAGATTAAGCAACGAGACTATTAGAAGAATGGGAACCGATAATGAACAAAATAGCAAAAAGACAAATGAACTGGTATGGGCATCTGATGAGGATGCAGACAAATAAAATAACAAGAAAAGTTTATGAAGCAAAAAACATCGGAAAAAGAAAAAGAGGCAGACCAAGAAAAAAATGGATAAAGCAAGTAGTAGAGGCGGGAAAACTTAAACAAAAATCACTCGAGGAATTGAAAATAATGGCAGGAAACAGAAAAGAATGGAAGAGGTAGGTAAATGGAAATTAAAATAGCTAGCCCAAATCCGACACCCTGATAGGGTAAAAGAAAGGGGAGAAATAAAGAAAGAAAGAAAGACCCTTTTAGTTATAAGTACTTACAGGATTGATATATGGGTTATATTAAATTTTACAGAAAAAAAAATACAATTCATACAAAACAGATCTACTTAAAAAACATTAGTTTTAATCATTACTTTTTTTCTCGGTGTAACTATAACTTTACTACTGTACTTGGAGCACATACTTAGAAATGATAAGTACGAGTTGTTGCAACTGATTATAAAGGGTAAAATCGAAGGAAAAAGGGGTCGTGGTAGACGACAAATATCCTGGATAAAAAACATTCGCTACTGGACCGGGTTAAACACACAGACGCTTTTAAGAAAAGCAGAAGATAGAACGAATTTACAATGGTTATAGTCAATCTTCATTATTGGAGATGGCACTAGATGAAGAAGAAGTAGAGGTATAGGAATAAAACAGGTTTCTTGGTTAAAAACATTTGTGAATGGACTCAGATATCAAATTCAGGATAATTATTTCGTATGGCAGATAATCTAGAAGCCTTCTGAATGGTGAGCGTCAACGTTGGAAATTCTGATTTGGCACGTGAAGAAGAAAGAGGTCTAAAGTCTTTACATAATGACCTATTCGGTTTTTTTAAAAGTGAGGTAAATGTAGACATTATGTAGACAGTGGTATTATTCCAGTTTCGTATATGTAGTTATAAATGTTTGTTAGTTCTGAGATATTGTCGCCATCTTGAAGTTTGAGCCAATTTGAGGGTATTGGTCAAGACTGGAGATTTCCCTTTTTTTTTTTTGTTTGATGGCTTCATACTTTCAGATTATATCTTATGTGATTTCGGCATCAACTTTTGAGTTAAAATTTTCCATAATAATAGTAGCTTCATCTTTTTTGTGCTTCTTGAAATGCTATGCGAAAGATATCCACAAGGATTTTTAATAAAGTGGCTCCTTCTGTCCTTCTACATTCTGATGCCGTTGACCATTTCTTGGTTCTTTTACTTTTGAGATCGATTTGGTGGTCTCAGGACAATAGAGTGCTCTACCACTCACCAACTGATCCACCCGAAGCCGTTGGTAAGCCAGTGGGGAATTGCTTATACCGGCAATCATTCGATGAGAAGTAGTTATAGACAAAGTGATAGAAGTAGAAAGTAATGACCCCGTCTGTCTTCGGAAATCTAATAGCCATTCGGGGTCATATAAGAAAGATTAAAGACATTTTACTCACGACAAGTTAAAGGAGAGTAAAATGTGAAGACCCTCATGACTCACCAGATTTGGCTTATGAGAGTATGAGCATTTTCTACCTTTTGTTCCCACTCATACATCTGTCTATTGACTACAGACTGTATGGCCCGTCCAACATGCCGTAGCATGAGGTAAGGACATGCATACCCTCCCACATAATTTGAAGCCCACGCACCCCAGAACATCCTGACCTGATAATTAGTATTTAACAGTATACAAAACCAATAAACTGCCAGTGCTGACGTATGGATCAAAAACCTAACCCAACTCCAAAACAGATGAAAATCAGTTGCTCATATTTGAACGAAGAATTTTGAGAAAATATTTGGTGGCATTTGAGAAAATATTTGGTGGCATCTGAGAAAACGGTATTTGGAGCTATGATATAATACCATATACAAACAGATATCTGGTTATACAGACATGATATCTCATATAAAAAAAGGAAGACTAAAATGGGCAGCCGAAGCAGTATAGACGAAGATGCTAGAATAGGTGCACCGAACGGTCAATGGATAGGGCTGACTGGAGCAGCATTGACAATGATTTAATAAACAAGACAGATGTTACACAAAACTTTCTCATACCGAGTTTTTATGTAAAACTGTATCTCATAAACCTTTAATCGCTGATCATGTAGAAACCATATCGTGTATCTTCTATATATTTTACTTTATGTTTTTTCACTATGCTATTTTTTACAGTCCTTCACGCAGATCATTTTAGATATATGTAGGACCACATTTAAACACCGTTACTTATATTTTTAGTAGTGAAAACAGAAGTAAAGTCCACCTTCTCCAATTTTATTTAAATTTCTATTGGGGATGAACCAATGAATAATTACAGAACACTTAATTACAGAGTTATGATTTTTCTATGATATAAAGTAATATGAAAATCTCTTTTTCAGGTGTTTTTATTTTTCATCTTGTTATCCAGTGCAGCAGTGAAATCAGAACCTCCTGTCAATTCATACCTACCTCCTCAAAGTAAGTAAACGTTTTGTTTGTAAAAATAATCATATACATGCATATTTTATTCTCTTTCGGTGGTAGAATTAGGGAAGACAATTATTCTTTTTATAAGGTTCTATAAGTTTCTAAATCCGTTGCTCTAATTCGCAAGAATTTTATATATATTATTATGATACGTACAATCTAGGCTTAGTTCACTATACGAGTATTCTTACACACATCTTGATTCCTAGCATACTTCCCCCAACCTTTGATATAAAGCTGTATCAGATTTTGTTCCACGTCGTTGGAACATAGAAGGGGTATACATATTATTATAATGTGTCTTGCCCATTGTTGCCTATTCTCTAAACTAAACTTCTCTGCTAAACTTTATTTATATTTATATTAATATCATATTTTGTTTAATAGACTAGCGTGTGTATTGTCAATATTTTTATTATCATCTACGAATATTAGATACGTTTTCCAATAACATGCAAAAGTGTTTTGCATGTTATTTTTACCATATAAACCTCAACCAACTGTAATTTTTTTTAAAATTTGGGACGTTTGGCAAGTTGATATTTAAATTATTGGTTATATTTACCAAGTTCTTAATATAATCGTTTCTTTTCGAGCTGTACATCGAATGGCCAAATATAATATTCTTAATTAAATTTGTGGATTCTTCTCATAAAATTTAGTAGTTAATGTATCATAAATTCTTCAAAATAATTCTAGATGGATACCCTAGTGCAACTTACGGACCTCCAGGCTACCAACCAGGAGTACCCATAGGTCCAGGAAATGGTAACGGTAACGGAAATGGTAATGGGAATGGTGGTAACGGTAACGGACATAGCAACGGCAATGGTAATGGTAACGGTAATGGAAATGGTAACGGCAACGGTTACACGGTACCTGGAATAGTATACGGACCACCTACAAATGGAAATGGCAACGGAAATGGTAAAAAAATATTTAGTCAATTTAAAATATGAATAAAAATAACAAAAACACAAACTGATAGAGTGAGCTATCATATACACTGTTTGGAGAAGTAAAGACGAAACTTGTAAAAATATCTAATTTGAATGAGTTGAGCAGTAACTACTACTTTATAGAAAAGCATGTGAAGAAATAACAAAGACAAACTCATGTACTTAAAACTATTACTATTTACAATCATTTCAATATCCAAAATTATCATATTCTTGTAGCGGTAACTCCATCTTTAGATCCCAGAACACATCTTCCTCTGCTTGCCAAAATCACCAATTCAAACCTTCAGCTGGAATATTTTCCTAGCTCCTGGAAAATAGCCAGTACAAACATGATTCTTAAATCAGGGAAAATCCTCACCAGCACTCAATCCAGACCGATTTTACTAAGTAATTTAGGCAAGATATACGAGAGGATCCTCAAAGAAAAAGTCGTAGAACACCTAGACATATCACATTATTTCAAACATCCAATTTGGATTCAGAGCTGGTCACTCCACACAGAACGCATTGTTAGAGGCAGCCAGAGCAGCCTTCATTTCTCAGACAACTAATAAACACAATAGACAAGCTATTGGCATCATTCTGGATATCCAAAAAGAATTCCATCAGGTCTGGCACGCTGATTTGATCGAAAAACTACACCAAGCCTTAGTAAAAATTCCGTTCCTGAGAATAGTTCGCTCCTACCTTTTTGTCTAGATCATCTGTGTAAAAGTCGCTAACAGGCTATTTACACGATTCACTCTTCTAGTAAGAGTCCCAAAGTGCATAATACTAGAGCCTATTCTATATACAGTCTACAACAGTGACATCTCGCTACCCAATACTGCTTTCGAAAGTATTCTTTTAAATGCTGACTACACGACCCTACTCCATGCAGGACCTCCACATGGCAACTGATACTATTTAGAACACAACTGATACAGACATCCTAAATGTTCTCGTTCAGAACTGGGGCAAGCACATCATGCCCAATAGAAAAAGGCTCGAATTTAGACCATCGGTGTTCTACTTGAGTGTCCAATTTTCAAGAGACTTAATTAGAACACAGTCCTTAAAAACTCCCTAAAAAGGGTACGAAGTGATCAATTTGGGAACACTAAACATGGTACTCTCCTCCACATACAAAAAACGTACATAATTATCGAATACAAAATTTTTGTTTCTAATACTAAATTTTACAAATTTTTACTATACTACAAAGTTTCTAATACTAATATTTACAAAACAAATTTTAATTAATAAACAATTAATAACAACATAAAATGTTGCCATTTCAGTTTTTTAATGCTGTTAAACTAATGTTCAACTACCTGTCTCTTCAACTGCAAAACACCTGTCTTAAACGTATCAAGTGGTGACTCCACAAAACGTAAATCCATAAACGCAGAAAACATGAATAATATTTCGAAAATTTAGAATTCCTTATTCTTATTTTTCTTAAATAGATTTTCACGACCAAATACCATACGATAAATAGTTTTTACTTATTTAAAAGTTTCCATCCTTTGTAGGGAGTATACAACAACACTACACTTCACATTATCACATTTTAGGTTTTAAAGAATACAACGTTGACAGTGACAGGCTACCAGGTACAAGTTATCTTCCTCCAAACGAAAACACTGATGGATATACTGATGGTAACTGTACAGAAATCATTTGATATTTAAATATTATATGTTCTATTTTAAGGTGAACCTGAATTAGAATATCTACCACCCAGCAACGGCAATGGAAACGGTAATGGTCATTCCAACGGAAACGGAAACGGCAATGGTCATGCCAATGGTAATGGAAATGGCAATGGTAACGGAAATGGAAACGGAAATGGCAACGGAAACGGTAACGAAATGCCAAACAACAAGTTTCTGTATTACTTACAATTTTTGTTTCAGGTTATCCTGGTTTAGCATATCTTCCTCCCAGTAATGGAAATGGAAATGGCAATGGTTATAAAAACGGTAACGGTAATGGTAATGGTAACGGCCACAGCAATGGTAACGGTAATGGAAATGGCAACGGCCACAGCAATGGTAACGGAAATGGAAATGGCAATGGCCACGGCAATGGTAACGGCAATGGTAATGGTGTACCAAACGGTCTTTACGGACCACCAAGCAATGGAAACGGAAATGGAAAACCAGGACCAGTATACGGCCCTCCTAGAAACGGCAATGGTAACGGTAATGGTCACGGCAATGGTAACGGTAATGGTCACGGCAATGGTAACGGCAATGGTAACGGTAATGGTAACGGTAATGGCAACGGAAACGGAAGGCCAGGTTCTACATATCTTCCTCCTTCAAACGGAAACGGAAACGGTAACGGCTATAAAAACGGAAATGGTAATGGAAATGGTAATGGAAGACCTAGTGGAACATATGGACCACCATCTAATACATACGGCCCACCTGTAAACGGAAATGGCAACGGTAATGGTAATGGCAACGGTAATGGAAACGGAAATGGTAATGGACACAGTAACGGCAACGGTAATGGCAATGGCAACGGTAATGGAAACGGTAATGGAAATGGTAAACCAAATGGATTATATGGACCACCCTCTGCTACATACGGACCACCTTCTAATACATATGGACCACCTGCAAATGGAAATGGTAACGGCAACGGATACAAAAATGGAAACGGAAATGGAAGAAGTAACGGAAACGGAAACGGTAAACCAAATGGACTATATGGTCCACCATCAAATGGAAATGGCAATGGCGGTAGAAACGGTAATGGAAATGGAAATGGTAACGGTAAACCTAATGGATTATATGGACCACCTACTAATGGTAACGGTAACGGAAATGGCAACGGTAAACCCAATGGATTATATGGACCACCTGCTAATGGTAACGGTAACGGAAATGGCAACGGTAAACCCAATGGCTTATATGGACCACCTACCAATGGAAACGGTAATGGAAATGGAAACGGCAACGGTAATGGAAACGGCAACGGTAATGGAAAGGCACGGTAATGGAACGCAACGGTAATGGAAACGGCAACGGTATAGGAAATGGACTATATTTACCACCTAACGGTAACGGTAACGGAAACGGATATAGAAACGGAAACGGTAATGGTAACGGCCATAGTAACGGAAATGGTAATGGTAATGGCCATAGCAACGGAAACGGTAACGGTAACGGTTATGCTAACGGAAATGGCAATGGCAATGGTAATGGCTATCCAAGTGGAGGTCCTAATGGAAATGGCAATGGTGAATCTGACGTAAGTTTATGGTTGCTATAACTTTTAAATCAATAGCCTATATTATGCATAAAACTGTAATTAGATCCATGTTTTGTTCGTATTACCACACTATTTAAAGAGTTATCAAACATAATAATTGTCATATAATTAAATAGTTTTATAGATTCACTAATAAGTTAATTATAATATATTGCCTAAACATCTACTTAGATCTACAATATTTGTGATATTTGCAGAACGGACAATTTTCATTTAATTAAATCATTCTCATGCAAATACATAAATGTTTATTTAAATATCATTACTTGGATCTTTTTTTTAACTCCTTCAAAAAAAATGCTTAAAAAAGAATTTTACAGAATTTTATACAGAAGTAAAAGTACAATTTTAAACAAAAATAAATTTTAAAGTGTTAGTTTACCTATAAGTTTCTTATTTTTTAGGAGCCAGCAAAATACGAATTTGAGTATGAAGTAAACGATCCCGAAAGTGGTAATGAATTTGGTCACAAGGAACAGCGTGATGGAGATGTGGCAACAGGCGAATATTTTGTAGTGCTTCCCGATGGCAAAAAACAAATCGTTACGTATGAGGCAGACCTAGATGGATATAAACCAACAATTAACTACGAAGGTGGGTTGATGGTCGATATATACATATAAACCATACACTCGGATTAAAGCTACGAGTATATCAGTTTTGACTTGAAAATATATATGGGCTCATGAGTTTATATGATTATTAAAGTAAACTGATTATACTGATGATATTCATGATGATGATTATATGATGAGTTCAGTATAGGAACTTTTAAGGTTTAACAATGATTGTAATATTATTTTCTTTTATATCAAGTTTTTGGGATCTATCATTAAACTGTCTGGGTAATACGTCATTATTTTCATTAATGTTTTCTTAAATTTCACCGTCACCATTTATTTTGCAGAGGGCAATGGAAATGGTAATGGTAACGGGTATCCAAGTGGAGGACCAAATGGTAATGGAAATGGAGGATATGTAAACGGAGGTTACCCAAGCAATGGTAATGGTAACGGAAACGGCAACGGACATGGTAATGGAAACGGTAATGGAAATGGTAACGGAAATGGTAACGGAAATGGAAACGGACATAGTAATGGAAATGGTAACGGCAACGGTAATGGTAATGGAAATGGTTACCCGAGTAACGGTAATGGAGGGAGTAACGGTAACGGATACAGCTACTGATTGTATTGAATTCAAATTATTTTCAAACAAGTTGTTGAATTTAATTTATTTATCTGGTCTATGTTAGCATAAAACGATTGAATGTTCTGTGTCATACACAGTAGGCAATGTATTATTTTAAATAAGTTTTAAGTGTACAAAAGACAAAAGGTGCCTGTTAAATTATAAGCGTACCTACAATTCTCAAGCAGATTTCTTACAAAAAGTACAAATTAAATAATATTTATTAGTAAAGTAATAGGTAAAGCCAAATTCAGATCAAAGAATAATGATTTAAAAATTGTAGCAAAGTTTATGTGGACAAACGAATATAATGAAACGTAAGCTCAATCATTTAATATGTATATAGTAATTTAAATAAGTAGTTCTAAGTAGATATCTTCCTTATTTATTAAACAATTTTTGTGAAATCACGACGACTGGAATGGCAAAAGGTATTGATTTTGTAGAGATAAATTACAAATATATTTATAATAAATGATTTTATATATATCTTTGTCGTATTATTAGTAATTCCTTTAATATTTAACCACTTACGAGGGCAAGGTAAATAAATTGTTTTCGAAAAAATTAATCTTTTATTTAAAAGAAGTGTGAGTTCATTTAATTCGCAAAAATATTTTGGTATATTTGTCGCCGTTTAACGCTAGAAAATCTGTGTCTATGCGATAGTAAGATACCAAAAAAATGGCAACAATGTCAAAAGCAAAAGTTGAATAATATTGATAATATTCTAAATAGTGACGTAGGTATTATACCTACTTTAAAAATTAAAGAATTATTATTTTTTTTTTTATTTAGAATTTCCGCATCAACCATTAAAGGTTATTAGCGGGTTTTACAGATTTTACAGTTGTTATTACAAATACAAATTTATTAATTACAAATTGCTTATTAAATTACACATAATAAATTACAAATTATAAAAAGATACATATAATATAACTTAAATTTTGTGTAGTAAACGTATGTCCTTAAGGAATTTGATTGTATTTGATATATTACTGGTTAAAATATCTTTAAGTTTCTTTGCTTCTTCTGGTACGTTGTTGATGGCTCTTTCGTAGGAATAAAGAGGACATTCAATCAATACATGTTGAACAGTTATTGGAAATTCACAATAGGAACATTCAGGTGGTAATTCTTTTGTTATGAGATGCTGGTGAGTTAACGCTGTATGTCCAATTCTTAGTCGGTTTATAATCACTTGTTGCCTTCTGTTTTCTGGAAATTGTAGTTTAGTGCCAATCCTAGTTTTCACGTTTTTAAGGTTAGCCTTATTAGAATTCCACATTTGTTGCCAATTTTTTACACAGTGCTGTTTAATATTGAGCTGGATATCACTGAATGGAATTGTAGTCATAATTTCAGTTTGCTTCGTCAGTAGCAGCTTTCTTTGCTAATTCATCTACTTTTTCATTTCCTGCGATACCTGTATGTGATGGTACCCAGAGAAATGTAACGTTCACGTGTCTGTTTTGTAGGTGATAAAGGGCTAATTGTATTTGTTGCAGGATAGCATGTACTGGATATATTTGCCTTAAGCTCTGAAGAACAGATAAAGAGTCAGTAATGATAAGAAAATCTGAGCTTGCATGACTCTTACACATGTCTAAAGCCTTTAAAATGGCGATTGCTTCTCCCGTGAAAATGCTGCAGAATTGAGGGATGCGAACTGCATATTCAGACTTTCCTAGAATAAAGGCCGCTGCGTGTCCGTTTTCAGTTCTTGACGCATCAGTAAAAATCTTGTTATGGCCAGTGTATTCTAATATCCGTTCTTGATATAATTTGTTAATGATTATGGGATTTGTGGTACTCTTTGGATAGGCCGTGAGGGATAGATCAATAGTGGGAAAATTAATAGTCCAAGGAGGTATAGTTCGTTGTGTAGGGTAAGAATGTGTCAGCTGCTCTATGTCAAAACCATATCTCGTTAGACGTTCTTTAAGGGGTGGATATTTAATTTGTTGATGGCACTGAGTGGGTGGATATATTTTATAAAGAAGTGGATAGTTTGTGTTATTAGGGTTGGAAGACAATCTCGCGACATAATTTAAAGAAATGTGTTGTCTTCGTATTGATAGGGGAGATTCATCTAGGATAACCTGAAAACTTGAAACAGGACTAGTTCTGTAAGCACCCAGAATTAGTCTTAAACATGTGTTTTGTATAATGTCTAGTTTTTTTAAGTATATAATTACTCGCAGTTGAATAGCATATTGCACCATAATCCAGTTTACTTCGGATTAATGATTGGTATATATGCAGCAATTTTATGGTGTCCGCTCCCCAAGATCGGTTTGATAGCATTTTAAGGAGATTTATTTTAGATTGGCAGGATACTACTAGCTTTTTAATATGTTCTGCCCATGTTAACTGACTGTCCAGTCTCAGGCCAAGAAAGTCAATGCTCTCTACTTGTTTTAGGTTGATACCATTTAGAGTAAGTGTTGTTTTGCAATCAGTTTTTCTTTTATTGAATACGACGAAACGAGATTTATCACCTGAGAACGTAAAACCAGTCTTTTGGGACCAGTCTTCTAGTTTATGCAGAAATGATTGCAAAATTTTTGAGGCTAGTGTAATATTGCAGCTACTAGTATATACAACTAAGTCATCTGCATACAGATCTGCTTTCAAAGGTAGCTTTATCTCTTGAGCGATATTATTAATTGCTATTAAAAATAAAGTGGGGCTTAAGGTTGAGCCCTGTGGAATACCGTTTTCAAGACATTCTGTTTTCGAGGTAATTCCATTTACACGTACTTGGAATATCCTATTATTCATGAAATGTTTTACAAATGCAAGAAAATTTCCCTGGATACCCCAATTGGACATGGTTTGTAAAATGTTGTATCTCCATGCAGTATCAAATGCTTTATTTATATCAAAAAATATGGCAATTACTTTCTGGTTATTTCTAAAGGACTCACATATAATATTGTCAATAGCTACTAAGGCATCATGAGTTGATCTGCCTTTTCTGAAACCGCTTTGGATATGGCTTAATAATTGGTTTTTTTTTTCAAGAAACCATATTAATCTGTTATTTAAAATTTTTTCTAGTAGTTTTCATGTATTATTTGTAAGAGAAATTGGTCTATAGGAAAGGGGGTCAGTTTTTGATTTGAAAGGTTTTAATATGGGAATAATTGTTGATTCAGACTGTATTTTTGGGTTTGGTAAAAATTGTTGGATCGGGTGGCGTTTCATGTATCTCAGGAGAGTCAGTAGATATTTGTCTCTTTGTTTTTGGATGGGAGGCATCAGTGTTCAAAGTAATAGGATTGTTATTTTTAGTCGTTTCGTTGTGAATATCTTCTGCTGTTATTTGAAAGTTAGTGGTATTATTAATAGGATTTCCTGCTTCTGTTGTAAGATTTTGAGGTTTAGACGAAAGTGATATTGTAGATTGAGATTCAACGGGTGTTTCAGTTGATGTCAATTGTGACAGAACAGGGCAGTCTGTTTCGCGATGACCTTTTGACATACACTTAGGGCAATTTAAGTCAGTGGATAGATAAATTCGATAGTTGGTGTTTGTCGAAGGATATTGTAATGAAATCTGGGATAGTGATATTTTCAATAGGAGTGATAAAAATTTGTCTTCGAAAGCTTAAAACGTGGTTATAGGCAGTGTCCGGCATTCCAACTCGCAGAAAAGTCATCTGGGATACAGTATTAAGTCCTAATTTTTTCAGCTCAACTTCAAGTACTGAGTTTGGTATGGTGGGACAGACATTTGAGATGACCAGTCTTGTAGCAGGAGTAACTAGACGTCTTACTTCAACTTCTGAATCATTAATGGATATTGATGTATGTGTCTTCAGCAATGTGTTGACGACTTCGGTATTGGAGAGATAAATACAAATTCTGTTATTTGAGATGCGGGATGCAAATAATATATTTTCTGGTTTTACTATATTTTCTATTGCTATCACGTATTCGTTTATTTTTATTCCATTGAGAGCAGATAGGACAATGGCTTGGTTTTTGGTTGGATATTTAAATGAAGTAACAGCGTTTGAATATGAACATGGTTGACTTGTTGTTAGGAGAAGAAACAGAACCAACAGAATCTTCATCCATTTTTAAAAATATTATTCATATTTTGGTACCTCTATTCTTCAGACGGTCCTGTTTGCATAAAAACAGAATCGGTAATGAGGTACCAAAAGTTGTGTAGTTGATAAGTCCGGTAGCAAGAACTTGTTTTGATATAAGTATCTTTAATTATATTATAATAAATACTACTTACAGTTTTTTTCCAAGTAGTTCAAATTTATTTTTATATTAACACTACACTTTATTGCAATTTTATCAACTGAATATAAATAATATCGCAAAAAACTAGGTGTAATTAGGCTAGCTATTAAACACGTCTGTTAACGACAACGGTTCGACGTGAAGTCTGAAGAATTATTATTAAATAATACATCTTTACAATGTATTTTAAGTAAATAATAATTCAGAAATACTTGACTATTTTTTTATTAACTAATTAATACAATACCGTAAAATGGGGTGAGATTGATCTCCCGGGGTGACATTGATCATTTGTTGTTGTATCACATATATGTAGATATAACTGGCAACAATGTAAAATTGTTTCTGGGCGTGGCACTATTCATTTGTTCGATCTTGACTATGATCAGTTCACGTTGTTGTAATTTTACAATTGGCATTGGGAAGAAATTATGTGGCTTTGAAATTAACTATATTTTTTTGCCTATTTTTATAGTTTGTGTACTTTTGATGGTAGAGAAAGAGCAGAGGTAAGTTCGGTATTTCTAGTATTATAAAATTATTTTGTATGGTTCTGTAATAATAATTTTAAGTATCTAGCATGTTAACTAACGCCAATTTTTTTAAGATGGGGTGACATTGATCAAGTGATCAATCTAACCCCACGTTACGTACGTTCCAGAAATTACTTTATAATTTTTGTTACAGATTTAACCCTCTACCGCTACGAAACCATTTATGGTTTCAAAATTTCAAAGTGTTGTAGTATGCATAATATCCACCACCCATCGAAAATTCTGACTACATCATAGCTAGTACTCATTTTACTATACATTTGTATGTTTGGTTGTCTACCAGTCAAGAGAAAGATCGTTATAACCTCATTCGTTTATACACGTGTAGTGAGTGAACGGTATCTTATGTATGACACCAGTTTGAAGCAATATTTTTTATCGAAATAGTGAATTTATTTGTTGGAAAAAATTTTTTGGAGAAAGTAAGTATTATTTTTTATTATATAAATATTTTTCTACATCGAATTTCACATTATTATCTAGCTTTATGATGTCATTTATTATCAAACCATATATGGTTTCGTATGCATTCCGTCTAAATTGGTATAAATCCGTAAAATCCATAGATGGTTTCGAATGCATTCAATGTTATTTTAGTTATACCGTTTTTAGAAAAATTATCATTTGATTTTTGTTTCAGAATGGATCCTGGGAAGTTTTATGGCTCGTCTAAATACGTTAACTGTATTCCTGGTGATGGAGAACTAAGTGAAGACGATGTAGGATTAGATTCAGATAATGAGTATATTCCTTTGAATGGAGAACAAGTGAAGACGAATTAGGTTCAGATTCCGATAATGAATATATTTCTCGATGTCGTCAGTCCCAGTCTGATGATAGTGACAACAATGAACAAAGGAATTTGGATGAAAATATACCTACTTGCTCTGGTATAAATAGAATTGTCAACAAAAAAAAGAAACCTGAAAAAATTTTATGGGAGTCAGGCCATTTGAAGCATTTTAATAAAAGTGATTATGCATTTAAAGGCGTTGTAGATCTACCAGAATGTATCCTTGAGTTAGAAACTCCTGCAGATTTTTTCTTGTTTTTGTTTCCAAAAGAATTAATATCCATGATTGTTGAACAATCAAACATAAAAGCTCTGCAGGATAACATAAACAAACCTGCCAATATTACCGAAAACGAAATGGAGCAATTCATAGGAACTGTAATATTTATGTCATTGGTGAAATTACCATCATCGAGACTTTACTGGAATGCAACTCTAGGTCAACCACAAGTATTTGAATCTATGACCTGCAATAGATGGAAATTATAAAGAAACACCTTCATTTTAGTGATAATAGTAACTCCGTTCCCGTTGGTAATCCAGGCCATGATAAATTGTTCAAAATTCGACCTCTATTAGACAAGATTAAACAACGGCTTTTACTGGTTCCCAAGGAGGAACATCTAGCTGTTGACGAACAAATTATCCCTACGAAATGCCGCCACCACCTCAAACAATATAATCCGGCAAAACCTCACAAGTGGGGATACAAAAATCAAGTACTTAGTGGTGTATCAGGTTTTAGTTATGACTTTGATATTTTTGCTGGTGAACAAAGCAATACTTTTCCAAATGGAGCGCCTGATTTAGGAGTCAGTGGAAATGTTGTCACTAGACTGACAGAGACAGTGCCGAAGAACGTTAATCATAAAATATTTTTCGATAACTGGTTTAATAGTCCAAAATTACAGATTTATCTTACAAAAAATGGATTGTTGCCTTTAGGTACGGTTCGATTAAACCGTGTTTCAAATTCAGGAATCCCATCCGAAAAAGAACTAAAGAAAAAAGAACGTGGTTTCATTGTAGAAAAAGTTGCCCTTGTTGAAGACGTAAACATAAGTTTAATAACTTGGTTCGATAATAAGCCAGTAAATATGTTATCAACTTACGTTGGTAGTGAACCTAGAACCACAAAACGTAGGTACTTCCGAAAAGAAAAAACGTACAAAGAGATTCCATGCCCTCAAGCTGTTGAAGTTTATAATCAGCTGATGGGAGGAGTGGACTTATTAGACTCGATGCTGGGGCTTTACAGAATCCATCTAAGATTAAGAAAATGGTATAAACGAATTTTTTTTCATATGTTGGATCTATGTGTTGTAAACGCATGGATACTCTGGCGTAGAAAAAATGAACAAAATTGCTATATGCCATTATTTGACTTCAAACAAGCCGTTTCTGAACATTTATGTAAATTTGGGAAGTCACTACCAAGAAAGAGAGGTCGTCCAGTAGGACAAAATGGGACTCCAACATCTAGTCATCAAGGAACTCCAACGTCTAGTCGTCAAGGAACTCCACCTGTCTTAACCAATGGAACAAACCCAACACCAACAAAAAGAACAAGAAAAACTCCTGCAAGACATCAAGAGATACCGTTAAATTCTGTGCGTACGGACAACATTGGACATATGCCAGAATGGCAAAAATATCGCCAACAGTGTCAAATATGTACAAAAAAAACTTACACCAAATGTATAAAGTGTAAAGTATTTTTATGTTATAATGAAAAAAGGAATTGTCTATCACAATTTCATAACTAACGTATTTTTGTATGTTAACTTTTTATTAAAATATGTTCTTATAATGCATGTGAAACCACATATGGATTTTCAAAAAATCTACCAGTTTGTAGTTATTGCATATGAAACCATATATGGGTTTGCAAAAAAACTTCTATATATAGGCCTAAACAGTTATTTTAAATGTACTAATGCCTTTTATATACCTTAATAAAAATCACAATACATAAAAATATTTTTTATTTCATGTTTGCAATAATTCATGCTGGAGAGGGTTAAGAATATCAATCAAAATGGGAAGAACGTACAAAAGACAATTTATGCATGTAGAACGTAGGGCAATTTTAATGAGGAACTCCGAAAAAAAATTCAAACGTGTCCTAGGGGGGGGGGGGAGTGGGGGGGCGGGGGGGGTGGGGGGGGGGGGGGGGGGGGGGGGGAGGACTTTAACAAGTACCATAGTAGGAAGATTAAGAAAACAGTTGGACAATCTGTATTCACATATGAAGAAGAAGTAGTCATTATAAATAGCATTTTAACGTGTGCAGATTGCTGGTCATATTCCACGTTCCAATTTTAACTTGACGGTCTTCTTGTTAATTTTTCTGTTAGGGATTACGCTGGTTGACGACCTGAAAAACCCTGACTCCTTTCCTGCCGGATCTTGGTTTCCGATACCCATGATCAGTACACGTCTGCTTACTGTTTTCTCATTTCATGATGATTCGACAAGAAATATCTGACGATATTTATACATGTGTAGGTAAGGTTGACATTTGGATCGGAGAGGCATTACGTTGAGCATCACTATCCCGTATACATCCCCATCGAATTATCACGTTCTATTGCCGGTTCGACATTATAATTTTCATTATTATCAGCCGCAGCCTCTTTATCAGCACTTACCGCTTCTTCGCTTTCTGTAATGCTTTGCCAATTAGAGCGACTTTTGAATGGGCAGAACCAACCGTTACTATCCTTAAACTGTTCATCCTTAGCGATTGCTCCAGCATCCTCTTTCAATCGCTCAAACATTAGCTTAGCTTGGGAGCACACTGTATTCTGATCAAGAGGACAATTTTTCACATTTACGTCATTATCACACCATAATTTTAACATTGTCTCTATTTCGGCGATAATCACCATGAAGTTTATCGTACGATAGTGGAATTTAAGATTGTGCACTGTTCACAGCTTCGAGAACTTTTTCCTTGCCCTTTATAATTGTTCTGGACCGTGATTCCGATAGTATCAATCTTCTTTGATAGTTCACAGAACTTCATTTTTAATGTCAAAATCTGGTAATTACGTTAAGTTTACATTCCAAATCCGTTTTTTTTTCTTATTTGCTATAGAAGGATCAGTTTTACTTCGTTTGGATGACATTATTGTTCTTTCAAGTCTTCAGTAGATATAAAATAAAAATCCCGCTATAAAAATAACAAACACCCACTCCATAGACAAAACTGTAGATAAGAAATACCTAATATAAAATAAATGTGCTGATTTCGTGCGAAACGTTAAAACATCTACTTTGGATGAGCAATAATGTGTGGGCGGTAATTTTATCTAATCGATAATCGAACGATTGTGTGGTACTCGGATGACGAATCGAAAAGATTTGAAAATCATGTAACTCTTGATTCACGTAAGTCGAGGTATTATGTTTTTACTCTTACAATTTTAAAACTCTCTGAAACACTCTATTTCCATAATCTTTTTCGGAAGTCTGGTATTTTCCATCCACTTTGCATGCCCGTACGGTATCAGTTGCATGCTCCTCACATCGGTCGTTATTGGGACTTCAACTCCCATTCGTCATATTACATCATCTTTACGAATACCCTTTCTGCGAGATACTCCAACTGACCTCTTAAAGACATCCATTTCGACTGCCTCCAATTTTTTTTTGTTTCGTAAATTCTGCCTTTCACTTCTTTTCCGATATTTTTATTTCTCCACATTGTTTCATCCAGGCAGCCTGCGGCTCTGTTTGCTCTATTCGATCTTATCGTTTTTACCGTTAAAAATTCATCTCTATTTTCAGTAAGTAATTCCCCTAATGCTTTTCCCATTTTCGTGTTTAATACTTGAATATTTGTGCTCTTCTCTTCATTAATTCTTAATTTAGTAAGGAGTTTACCATATCTTCTATTTAGATATCTTGCCATTTTCTATTTCATATTTCTTTTTGGGCTACGGCTATTGTTCTTGTTATTGTTTTGAGCTCCAAATATCTGAAGCTGGATCTGATTCTTTATTAGATCGGAAAGGAAGAGGGAAAATAGAAGAAAGTAATTTTCAAAAGGTAAAACAATTTTTTATTCAAATAACTTAAAAATGTACTTAAAATGCATTATTCAATAGATGTACTGCAATAAATAGATCTTTAAACAAGCTTGGTTTCAGCAAACTTTTTAGCAAGATCTAAAATATCAAACAGAGGTATACTGTTGTTACCTGAGGCTTGAGCAGAATCTGGTTTGCCACCACCTTTTCCGCCAACCTTTTTGGCTACTTCTTGGACCCATTCATTTGCTTTGAGACCTTTTTCTATGGCACCTTTTGGTACGGAAGATAAACAAAATACTTTGTTAGAATCCTCATCAACTGTCACAAATAAGGCTGAAGTTTCGGGACTTAAACTTCGTACTTGTTTCAGTGCTGAATCTAGAGCCTTAGTATTATTAAAAGCCTTAAGTTCCTTGACCAAGATGGGTATGTTCGGATTTGCTTTCACAAATTCTTTGATTTCTTCGACAACTTGGTTTGCTACTGCTGCTTTTGCAGCACGATCTTTATCGTCTAAAGCTTTTTTCAGGTTTTTCAGAATGTTTCTTATTTCTTCTTTCTTCCAGTACGGAATTAAGGCATGTGATACTTCTTCCGTAAGTTCTACGATACTTTTGACATATTCTTTAGATTTAGCACCTGTTTTGTCACTATCAATAGTAGATTTCAATTGATTAAGTCTATTTTCTAATAATTCAGTTCTTTTAAGAGCCTTAGTTGCTTCTGGCCCGGTTAATGCAACAATTCTTCTTATTCCTTTAGCAATAGCTTCTTCGCTTGCTATTATAAAATCTCCTATATGACCAGCATATTGAACGTGAGTACCGCCACAGAATTCGATCGAAGTAGTATCACCATCTGGGCTGAAAGGATCTTTTTCTAGCTGATCAACAGGAAGTCCTATAGAAACAACTCTTACAGGATCTGGATAAGTTTCTTCAAACACAGCACGAAGTCCTCTAATAGTTTTTGCTACGCCCAAACTTGAATCCTTAGCGTAGACCTTGCCATTTCTGGAGATAAGTTCTTTAGAGTTTTCCTCTGTCTTTTTAACTTGATCAGTGGTCATTGCGCCTTTGTTGGTAAAATCGAAACGTAATTTATCTGGAGCTACAAGAGAACCTCTCTGGTCAGCATCGGTGCCTAAAAAAGTGGAAATGTACATGTAGCTTTAAAAGTGTAATAGAAAAAATAAGTTTGTTAGGATATTAACCATTAAATGCATCGTGTTGCCGTTAGGTAACATAGGTAAACGATTGAATGAAATGATTCTATTCTGATTCGAATTTGAAGTAACTGCATGGCGTTGCCTGTAGTCTACATAGTGTAAATATAAAATAGTTTGGCACTTTTTGCACAGATGGCATAAGCATGCACTTCGACCTATTGAATTGTTTGATAGCTAACCTGTAACGTCGTGTGTTTAGTTTGTGAGACGTATCTAGTTAGAATATTAGTGATTTATTATTGAAAAAATATCCTAGTTTGTAGGTAAGGTACAGTATTGTGCGAATTAATGTGAACAAACAGAATTAATTTCCGCACCTCGGAGGTAAAGGACACTATGTGCACTTTCTTACTTTTTAAGGAGAGCAGTTTTAACATTTTTTAAATTTGTAATCAGTAAATACTCAAATGTTTCTGCCACTCAAATGGTTATTACCAAAATTAATATATTTATATATTATATATATTACATATATAATATATTATATATTTAATATAATATATTAAATTTTGGTTAAATATCAGAAACATTTGAGTATTTACTGATTACAAATTTAAAAAATGTTAAAACTGCTCTCCTTAAAAAGTAAGAAAATGGACATAGTGTCCTTTACCTCCGAGGTACGGATTTGTAAATATGATTTATTCAGGCCAAAGGTAAATTTAGGTACACTTGCATGAGATTTTTACATTAATTAGTATTTAATATGTCCCCCTTTTACTTTTATGACTTCCTGGAGTCTTCTATACATGGAATCAACAAGTTTTTTGCAATTGTTTGTGATTGCTTCATCTCTAAACCACACCTTAATCACTGCTTCCACCATTTTTCTGAAGCTATTTTCTTGTGGCATTGTAAATTAATTACTATTAAACTGGGAATAAGCCACAATTAAAGATAAAAATACGTTTATTGACGTTTCAATTTCCACTTCGGAAATCGTTCTCAAAATACAAAACCATTTTTGTATTCCACCATTTTTGTTTTTTTGCCATACAGTCAAATTTTTGCAGTTTAGCCTTACATATTGCCCACAAATTGTCAATAGGATTACGGTCAGGAGAATTCCCAGGCCAATCAAGAAGGGTAATATTATTATCTTTGAAGTATTTTGTCATAACCTTCGATACATGACACGGAGCTGAATCTTGTTGAAAAATTGCAGTCCCTTCGGTCTGTACTTTGTCAAGCTCTATAGCTAAACGTTGCCCTAACATGGCTTTGTACTTTTCACTGTTCATAATACCTTCAATAGGAATAAGAGTTCCAGTTCCTGAGTATGAAAAACAGCCTCAGAACATTTTTTTGGTGGGATGTTTAACTGTTTGGTTGATATGGCTAGCTGAAAGTGACTCATTGGCTGCCTTTCTTACGAATTTTGATCGCTGGCCCTGCACTAGGAAGTGGGTCTCATCAGCAAATAACACTTTTCTCCAATCTTCTGCACTCCAATGAGCGTATTTTTTTGCCCAATTTAGACTTTTTTTCATCACAGGCGCTGTCAGAAGTTGTTCTTCTGCGGTCTCACGGCTCTTCTCCCTCCTTCTAAGAGACGTCTGCGTACCGTTGAGTCGAGAAAATCGGAAGCTTTTGAGGTGTGGCTTTTTAAGAGAATTTTGAAGATACCATGGACCGATCATATTACGAACGAAATGGTGTTGCACAAAATGGGAAGAGACAGAGAACTGTTGACCACCATTAAAAGGCGAAAGACAGCATATTTGGGGCAATTACTTAGAAATGATAAGTACGAGTTGTTTCAGCTGATTATGAAGGCTAAACTCGAAGGAAAAAGAGGTCCTGGTATACGACAAATATCCTGGCTGAAAACATTCTCGACTGGACCGGGTTAAACACACAGACGCTCTTGAGAAAAGCAGAAGGTAGAGACGAATTTGCAATGGTTATAGCCAAACTTCATTAGTGGAGACGGCACTAGAAGAAGAAGTTGACGGCGTAGATATCTCATCTACAATATGGAAACTTAATAAAAATGTCATCTTGCTTTTCACTTTTGCAGCTATATCTCCTATATACAAAATAAAACCCTTTACAAGGGGGGTATTATTAAATAATATATCCGCGATATGGGAGGGGTTGATCTCATGGACAGCCATATTGGAAGATACAAAATTTCTGTAAAAAGTAGGAAATGGTAACTCACTCTATTTTTATCGCTTACTTGATTTAACAGTTGCCAATTCCTGGATATTCTAAAAAAGCGACGGTTGTTAAGAATCTATATGCAAAGCTTTTAACAAAAGCAGCTTTTCGCACAAAAAAGAGCACTTTCCCCACGTGCAGAGTGTCTCTGCAAGACGAGCACAACCACAGCAAAAAGAAGGAGACCAAGTACATCGGTAGCTCACATCCGAGACAAGAAAAATAAAGAACCAGCTCAGTACATTCCCCCAAAGATATAAGAAGGGACGAATATGGACACTGGCCGACTATAGAAGATAACAAAAAACGGTGTAAATATCCCAATTGTAAGGGATTTATACATAAAAATTTTAGAAATGTAGTGTGGCACTGTGTGGTTCAATAAAAATAACAATTGTTTTTATAATTTCCATGTAAATTAACAATGTATATTTATATCCTAACTTGTCCTTGTATGCAGAATCATTGATCATAAACCACTACCTAGATAGCTCACCTCGTGGTAACCGAAAGACGTATCAAAAACTAGATGGCGTTACTCGAAAACCGTATCGAGATTCTCATTCTCTCTCTGACTTGCGAGGAGATAGGAGTGGTGTCAGGGCCGAACTTACCCTATAAGTGTATTATCTGTGTGAAGTGTTGTGACAAGTTATAGAGAAATTTTATAAAAAAAGGACTCACATTTTAGATAAAATGGCCTGTGTAATGCATAAATGTGTTTACGCGGGATGTTTTGAAAGAAACGATGGAACAAATAATAATATATCTTTCTTTAAATTTCCCTTGAAAGACGTAGAGCGCACAAAAATTTGACAAAAAAACTGCGGGAATATTGATATTATATTGATGGATATCAGTGACCTAAAACAGAGGGCAATTTGCTAGCATCATTTTGCAGTGGAACATTTTTATAGCACTTTTATATAAATATGTAGGTTTCCTCAGAAAATTCTTCTCGACTTTTAATAATAAAATGTTTCGATATTGTCAATAATGAAAGTACTTCTTGAGAACAAGAAATAATAAATATTTTTTTTCCTAAAATTTTAATTTTATAATCTTAGTTTGAAAAGAATTAAAATTCAAATATACTTATTTACTTTGTTTTGAAATATGATTTAATTAGTGATGTTTTAAACTTTCTAATCCTGTCCGTTTATCAGCTTTTACCTATTGTTCCTAGGCAGATGGCCCTCATCTATTTATGTATTGGAAATTCCCTGTCATTTTATCAAAATATGTACTTACTTTATTCATTTTTAACGTTGGTAATTAGTGGTATTTTGTTAAAGTCAAAATCGATTGCATTTGGTACTCACCACTACTTGCTTTTAAAACCTCGATAACGTAATTCCAGAAAGTCCTCAGAAAAATTTTAAATGTAAAAAGAATGCGATCGAACAGTAGATCATAGTGATTTTAGTTCACCTCTATACAATTTCTTATTTTGCACAGAATATAATTGACTTCTATATTGCCATTTCTAGATAAATTGTCAATTTTTTGTAGTACAATGTTACTATTAGAACAAAATTTATATCCTATTCTTGTCGAAGTTCCTTCTCCTATCGAAGGTTGGCCATCACCACAGCTATTCGTACTTTATTGGCGGCTGCTCTGAAAAGATCTATTGAGCTGCAACTATACCACTCTCTTAAGTTTCTCAGCCATGAAATTCTTTTTCTACCTATGGATCTTTTACCCTTAATTTTACATTGCATTTTAAGCTTTTCGCACCTTCGGTAATGTGACCTAAATATTCCAGCTTTCTTGTGTTGATGTTCTTTATCACCTTGCAATCCTTTTGTAACATTGTAACCTTAACACTTTTGCATTTGTAACTCGTTAGATCCAGGTATTTTCAAAATTCCTCTATAGCACTACATCTCAAATGCTTCCAACTTCTGTATATTGTCTACTTTTAGCGTATATCTTTCCATTCCATGTATCAAAGTCGAGAACACGTAGCATCTTAATGCGCTTATCGTCAGCTCCTGAGGAAGATCTCGATTTTGTTCTAAAGCTATTTTCTTGTGGCATTATTGCTACTAGTTTAGACTACTCTAATAACTAGTTTTGATGGGAAATAAGCCACAATTTTACTAAAAAATTATTTTATTAACGTTTCGACGCCCAAATCGGGTGTCATTGTCAAAATACAAAAATTATTAATGAATTAAACAAAAATGATGCTGCTTGGTAAAAAAAATTCTTATAATAATTTATTTAATCTGACTCATTTATATCGGCAATTCAGACATATATTATACATTTTAAAGTAGATAATGAGATATTGGTAATGACATTGCCAATATTTACAAGTTGCGTTCCTGGGACGACTTTGTTGAAAGATAGTTAATTCGATTACATGAAATCTACCCCAACTCAAGAATATCCGTCACAAAAAAATCATAACATGTAATATGTCTTTAAATAGACAACCACATGCAATGGTGACAGTAAAATTCTCGCGCTAGAATATAAATATAGTCCCAGGAACGCAACTCATAAATATTGGCAATATCATTTTAAAGTCTTCTACTTTAAAATGTATAATATATGTCTGAATTGCCAATATAAATGAGTCAGATTAAATAAATTATTAGAAGAATTTTTTTACTAAGCAACAACAGTTTTGTTTAATTCATTAATAATTTTTGTATTTTGACAACAACAGCCGATTTGGGCGACGAAACGTTAATAAAAGCCATTTTTTAGTAAAATTGTGGCTTATTTCCCATCAAAACTA